TAACCCTAACCCTAACCCTAACCCTAACCCTAATCCTAACCCTAACCATATCAAATAGTGACCAGGGTACATTCCGATATATACCGGACCGTACCCAGGGTACGTTCCGGCAGTACCCTGGGGGACATAGACCCTATGAGCTACGCTTACAGTTGAGTCAAAATATGCTAAGGTGTTATTATTTTCAACGTGGCAGATTAAAACCCCTTTTAATTATTGTTAAATAAAATGAATATTTATTTTCATTGTTTTATGAGACTCTACACATTTCCGGGCCGAGTTTCAGCCCAATCCATTGCAGAAAAAAAAGTTTCATTGTAAATTTGTGCCGCATTTTGTAACATGGGCTGATGAACTCCAATGGGATGGATGTATCCTTTTACACAGAGTATCTGAGGACTCCCATGTCATAGATTCTAAATATGTATTAAAAACACTATCTAAAAATGTGTCCGACTAAATTCTTAGGTGAATTTATCATATTAAAAATCCTTATCAAACTTTCACCTTGCGTACGTCATTGTGTCCGTCTATAAATGTTGATCAGAAGCTTCCTCTGGCTTGGCTCTGATCATTTGTTTAAATGTAATCTGTAAGTTGCTGATGATAAAGAAATAGAGCAGTTACCCATTAAACGTGTTCTTTCACTATTTTATTCATTGCTAACCAACATACACGTGTTTAAAAAATTGGTTGGTCAAGTCTGTCAAGAAATGATGTACGCAAGACACCCCCATATTTCCTGCCACGATCACCCAATCCCTATTAGCTATCCACGATCACGTGGTAGCTGTTATCTGAGGAATTCCGAGTGACCTATTTGAGTCAAATGAGATGTAAACATGGCGGACTGTTATCACAATCGCTGTCTGTCAAGTTAGATAACGTACGAATTTCCAAGTCATACGTCAGTTTTTGACGGACATTTCTTCCGTACGTCATGTATTTGACGGACATAATCATCTGTTTGACTTCATATGGTATAAATTTATAGCGGTAATTGTACCAGATTGTAGCGTATAGACTATAGATTGTCATAACCGTCTTCATAGGATAATTGTACATAGCATAATAGTTTCTAGTACGGTGTGTCAGACATTATCGGTAATTTTCTTGGATTAATCAATTCATATTATACTAACACTACTGATTATTATAGCCTTATAGTAGTAGGTAGTAGGCCATGTAGAAGTATTCTTATATTGTAAAGTGAAATATCTATGCATATGACTGTACATCTTCTCAGAACTGATGACTTTGTGATAATTTAAAAATGTGTCCGTCGAACTAATGTACGCAAGTTTTTGAAGATTTTATTTGAATAATGGCATTCAAGTGAAATCATCTTGGCCACATTTTAAAGAGAAATAATCTTTTATTTAAAGAATTTGAAGAACTGATAATGGCTTTACTAGAAATGATGATATTCGTGATATTTTGTGATTTTTGAAAATTTGTCCGTCAAACTAATGTACGCAAGTTTTTTGTAAACTTGGGCCTTGTATGTCTTTTAGGTGAATTTTACTTACCTTAAACCTCATTGGTAAATGGCTACACTGTATAAATGTGTACTTACCAACAACAATTCATATCCAAGTGGTTGTATTGCAACAGTAAAATACTTTCCTTCGAACCAAGTAGCCTTGGCCAAGTATGGCTGGAGTGTTTGACGGAATGTAAATTTTCCATGTTTATGTTTTTGGACAAATGGTTCTTCCTCTTTCATAAATTAGCATTACCTGCACTTATGTAAACAGTGTTGAGTATAGAAATAGTAATAATAACTGGTTAATTAACAATAAAAGATGAAACAATGTCCGTCAAAAAGGATGTACGCAAGCACCAAGTTCCGAACTTTAAATGCAAATTTTTCAGGTTTACTTTCTGTCAACTATATTTTCATTGTTTTATTGTGACATGTTGGTTCATCAAGTTTAACTTCATTCTGTGTTTGAATAAAAACAAAGTGTTTCATATATCTGCCTCTGTGTTACTCTTTATAACCCCTTAGCATATTTTGACTCAGTTACGCTGAGAGGGTCTCTGTCCCCCAGGTTACTGCCGGAACTGTACTAGAGCTAACTCATACACAGCATTAGAGAGGTAAAGTTGCTCAAATTGATAAATCAACAATGGATTGCAATTTGCATCAGGAAAAGTTTATAGTTTTACCATTAATCAGGGAAGGAAAAGAATTTGAGTAGTGTGTTACAATCGTGCTAACTGCCTACCTAAGACATTATCAAGAGTGTATTAAGAAGGACCTTCTTAATACGCTCTTGACATTATGCCACATTTCGTGCAGAAATGGAAGTGCCTTTATTATAATTATATAGAGTAAAGTAGTTGAGTAAAAATGTGTTAGCGTAGTAGTATTTTTATGCACTAACATAATTCACACTTACTTAAGCCTAGCGCGCACAACCGAGCAAAACACCCTGAACGTGGAGCAAAACGTGTTTCGCTCGATGTTCGTGGCTGTGTGCGGATTCCCGAAACAAAAACATTGCTCAGCTGAGCGTGTTTCGCTGAACAAGCAATGTTTGATTCGCGGAACGTGTTTTCGCCTGAGCGTACGTTTTGCTCGGGTGTGTGCGTCAATCGTTCTGCTACACAGCGAAACGCCACAGACGGTCTCCAATCAATATCCTTAAAAATATCACATGACACACAAAATTGGATGTCCATTCGATGGCTATTTTTGATGTCATGTGACAGCGGCGCTGTACGCAGTGTTTCTGTATGTTTTGCTCAGCTGTGTGCTGTGTCGGGTGGCGTGTGTGCGCTTGCTCGCCGAGCAGAACACGAAACGCTGGAAAACAAAATTCCCCGTTTTGCTCGGGTGTGTGCGCTAGGTTTTATGCACAAATTAAAGAGAGATTTCGGCAATCATATATTGTGGACAACAGCATTGGTCAGATCCCTAAAGTCACGATGGCGAGAAACTCTGCACAATTTGTGCATAGGAATGAATTTTGGGGTTAAAATGCTAGGTCAATCCATTTTTTACTCCACTACTTTACTCTTAGTCTTACATTAATAAAGTCCAGCCACTTCTGCAGGAAATGAAGTTTGTTGGAGTTCAACAAGTGGTGTAGTTTATTAGATAGGTTGCATGCAGGATCTAACGCACTACCCAAGAACTTCAGTACCAAGGTATGAAAAGACAGAAACATAGAAGCTGAACATAAATGAATCATTTGAAAATGACATGGTCAGACTAGGACGATAAAGTGTTGCGAATAAACTTCATTAAACAAGAAGGAATACCAGTCTTGACCTGAGTTGATAATTCGTAAGTAAGGTTGAAGAAGGCAGATTGGAAGAGGGGCCAATTAAGTTGCTCCAAAATAAGCTTGAAACTATTATAATAGTATTGAGATACACATACGATAGCTCTAGTACTATAGCCCGCGGATCGCTGCCGCAGGCCTGCAGCAGTGATTCGCGGGCTATAGTACTAGAGCTATCCATACGACAGCTTTATTATGTATGGCATCTAGATTTTAATTTAGAACAGTTCTGAAGTGCATAGAAGCACCAGCCTGGTGAAACATATTCTAATGTGGGGAGAACTATAGTTTTACTTTTTAATAACCATGGACTGAGTTATAGCATCTGAAAAATGCTACGTAATGACAAAACGAGATACTTTCTTACAAATATCATTATTGTCTGCATTCCAGCGAAGATCGCTAATAATAATGACACCCAAGTGTTTGTAAGTAGGGGTAAGAGATGGATATTTATGGTAAAGTGAGTAAGCAAAAGTCGAGGGTGATTTAGAGCATAACTGCATCTAATTGAGACTGCTCATCTGCAGGCAGCGGAATGGAGCAATGGCCGCCGTACAGCGTGCACCAGGACGTGATGACCCAACGCCCCGGTGACCACCAGTGGCGCCCTCCGCTGGATGACAATGCAAACTCGAATTCGCCCGGCGAGAGCCAAGAGCCCGTGGTAATAATTACGGAGCATCCAGCAAGCAAGTTGCGCTTCAGGTGTGTGTGCGCGCCGTTTTCCACTCAGCCGACCCTGCCGTGGTCGGCAGAATGTATCGATGCCCACCGGGAAGGTCCGCGATCGTAAGAATGGGTAGCTGTTCGGGCTTTGACGGGCGCTACACGGAACGGTGGAAAGAATGCGGTAGCATTACGGCACTTTAATGGACCAGGTGACATTTCCACGTCATAGAAAATCTCTCTTCTTCCGATCCATGATTGTATAGCCTCTGAATTTAGTTATGAATTGGCGTTCACACAGGTACGAGTGTGAAGGAAGAGCAGCCGGCAGCATACCCGGAGAGCACTCGATTCCCGAAAAGAAAACTTTCCCTGCCATCCAGGTACGATAGTCGGCGCCTTGAGGGAGATGGGAAAGGGGAATGGATTAGGGTTTTTGATATTGATATGTATTTATATATTATTGATTTATTAATATTGATATATTAAAATTGATTAATTAAATTGATTTAATAAATTGATTAAATTGATTTATTAAAATTGATATATTATTGATTTATTGATATATTATTGATATTATATACATAAACTTTGAGATTAATATCACGGGGATACAACCGTCAAATGGCAAGTGCAGCCGACACGCCGCTTTGTACCTAATCTCCATTTTGTTGGGCGATGCGAATCTGCCGCCATCACTCGTCTAGACTCGAAGTTCACTAGCAGCCGATTAAACAATTTGCAGCATTGAACTATTGTGTCAGAGGGACGCAGCGTCGCGAAGTTTCTGCTCTGTCAGCGTGATGTCATGCTGACGGCGGCGCGCGGCCGCACAGTTCCCGCGTAGTCGTCTCCGTATCCTTCCTCCTCGTCCTCGCACGTCTCCGTCTGTCTCGACGCAGGTTCGCAACGTCTCGCGGCCGTTCAAGGTCATCGTGTCGTGCGTCTCGCACGAGAAGCCGCCGGCGAAGCCACGCTCGCACCCGCACAGCCTCGTCGGCAAGAACTGCCAGGACGGCGTCTGCGTGGTGAGCGTCACCAACCCACGAGACGGCAGGATCGAGTGAGTGACGCCGCGCGGACGTGCGCGCATCGTGTCGTACGAACGAGATCGAGAGCCGAGCGCGTGATATCAGATGCTAGTGTCGTGGTCACGTAGTTGATGTTCTAGATATCCTGCATTGTTTTTAGGCTTACTTGGCATGCTCAGTGTACTGGTTCGTGTCGGATTGTGGAAAGTTCCGGATTATGGGAGGTCGTGCGATATTATAAGTCTAAGCAAATTTATAGTCAAGCTTAGGCGAAGCATATTTTTGAGTTTTGATGTCTGATTGTCACCAATCCTCTGATATTTTGACAGTGGTGCCGCTGTGTTGTGATGTTGTTATAACGAGATCACTCTGTCATGCAAACAGGTTCCCCGGTGTTGGAATCCAGTGTGCCAAGATCAAGGACAGAAAGGATCAGTTGGCCAAGCGGCAGAAGATGAAGATTGACCCCTACAAAGGTGCCTAGTTGGTTCTGTCCTCGTATGCATCTATACACATGAGCGTGCTCAGGGTGTTGCAGAGTTACAAATTTAACCAGTTGAGAATTTGTGTTCACGAGTCAAATTTTAGGAGCTCGGAAGAATGTAACTTGGTTTGGTTCATCTGTGAGGGTCATGCAATTCGTAAGTCGCATTTGTATAGACTAAGATAAATGAATAATAATAATAATGATAATGATAATAAAAGAGCATGAATCGTCATCATTCACGAGGCAAGATCTGATTGAGCATCCACACATATATATATAGAATCATGTAACCCTTGCAATAATACTCTGTAAGGACGGACGTTGGAAGTAGTTCCTTTGAATTCTAGCATCCAGCATTCTTTCCCTCATGCGGTTCCCCTCTCGTCTCGTTGCAGTTGGCTTTGCGCATCTTTCCCTCACGCGGTTCCCCTCTCGTCTCATTGCAGTTGGCTTTGCGCATTCTTTCCCTCACGCGATTCCCCTCTCGTCTCGTTGCAGTTGGCTTTGCGCATCTTCCCCTCACGCGGTTCTCCTCTCGTCTCATTGCAGTTGGCTTTGCGCATTCTTTTCCTCACGTGATTCCCCTCTCGTCTCGTTGCAGTTGGCTTTGCGCATCTTCCCCTCACGCGGTTCTCCTCTCGTCTCATTGCAGTTGGCTTTGCGCATTCTTTTCCTCACGTGATTCCCCTCTCGTCTCGTTGCAGTTGGCGTCGTGAATCTTTTCCTCACGTGATTCCTCTCTCATCTCGTTGCAGTTGGCTTCACACACAGTGATCAGAGCCTCGACGTTAGCGTCGTGCGGCTCTGCTTCCAGCTGTTCATCCCGACCGTCATGGACCCGGAGACGAACCAGTGGAGCTACGCGCAGGAGACGTGGAAGGCCATACGGCCCGTGTGCTCGCAGCCCATCTACGACAAACGTGAGCGGCATTTATCATAATTTAGATCACATTTACGAGATGTGTTCTTTTCATCGCTATTCTAGTATCATCATGGTACTAATTATAGTTTCAGAAGTATTATGATAGTACTGATTATAGTTTCATAGCACTAATTTTTGTTTCATAAGTATTATCATAGTACTAATTATAGTTTTATAGCTTTGCGCTGTTTCTGATAATGGTTTCCTGCAGCTGGAGCTAATGCCACCAGGTGTTGTCTGCAGGTTGCACCACCAAAATACTAGTGATGTGTATCGCCAAAATTTTTGTATCGCGATACAAAACTATACTATTAGTTCTACATCTTTACCTGTTGCTGCTATCAAGAAAAACAGTGTAAAGCGTTCAGAGTCAAACTGAGCTTTTATAATACTTAACACAACAATTCAAACAAGCAGGCTATCTTATTGTGTGTGTGTGCGTGCACGCGTGTCTGTACATAAGCGGGGGCAGGTGCATATGTGTGTGTAGTGTATATTCAAACTACGTAATTTCCGACCATTAAACTGTGGAAATTGCTGATAATATCCCGCTCCCCGCCGGCACCGCGCCGCGCTGCCGTGGGAGGCGCCGGGGGGGGTACAACGGTACGGCGAGAATGTATCGTGATACGTATTATTTTGAGTTTGTACCGCGACATACCTTTATACCGATAATACCGCGCACCACTACAAAATACGTGCGTTATTCGGCGTTGCATTCTCGGCAGGAGAGAGGCTGTTCTAACGCTTGACCCAACTACTAGTGGCGCGCGTAACATGAGTTGCGTGTGTTTCGCTGCAGGTGCCGTGGCTCAGCTAAACATCAGCAGGATCGATCGCATCTCGGGGCCGGCATGCGGAGGGCAGGAGGTGTGGCTGCTGTGTGACAAGGTGACCAGAGGTGCGTGCTCAAGTGCTGTGCTCGTCATTCGATTAATCAGTCGAGTGCTTCCTGGACCTATTTCGTCATCGTGAACTTGTTTGATTGGTTCCCATACCTACTTCATCATCGTGAACTTGTTTGATTGGTTCCCGGACCTACTTCGTCATCGTGAACTTGTTTGATTGGTTCCCGGACCTATTTCGTCATCGTGAACTTGTTTGATTGGTTTCCGGACCTACGTCGTCATCGTGAAATAGTGTAATTGGTTCATAGACCTACTTCATCCTAGTTTGATCCTTTTAATGGTTCCTAGACCTACTTTATTCTAATTCAATCATTTTCTTAGTTCCGAGATGTACATTCTTGCAGTTCTATTGTTTGATTGTTGGGTTTATGGTCTTGCAGATGGAATTGAAGTGAGGTTTTTTGAAGAGAAAAACGGTCAAACCGTATGGCAGGAGAAAGCTCAAATTGTGCTGGTTCATAAACAGGCAAGTGTCGTAAAACTAGCATTGTCAACAAACAACCTATATGTCACAAGTAGCCTCTCCACTTGTGTGTGGTGGGTGTGGTAGAGTCACTGAGGCCTCCTAGGGTGTGTTATGCACAACATTAATGCCTTGCTTTCAACGAAGAAAAATTCTGCAGGAGTATCCACTTGAGCTGCTTGAGGGAGGTCTGACAGTGATACCACCTGTGGAGCGTTAGGCACAATATTAATTCCTTGCTTTGATTTAATAAACAAATGTGCATGTTTAGAACTCAAGTCCTGACAGTGGCTCTACCTAGAGAGGCGTTTAGGCACCACGTTAATTCCTAGGATCCGTAAACCCTCGCGTGTATGGCGGTGATAGTTGTAACAGTCGGGACCTGTAGACTGCCTTAGGAACCACGTTAATACCTGCACATTTTAAGTATGAAAAAAGAACGGTATGACTCGCTCCTCCACGTGCGTCATGGTGTCCATGTTTGATGTTTGTTTCCTCCGCCTCCTCCTCGCCCGGTTTCCCCCCGTCATTCAGGTTGCCATCGTTGTGAAGACGCCGCCGTATCGCGACCCAGACATCACGAGCATCACCATGGTAAAGGTGGCGCTGCACCGGCCCACCGACATGGAGATCAGCCCCGCGATCGGCTACAAGTACTACCCGTCGAACAATGGCGAGGATCGCGAACGTGAGTTTTCGTCGATGAGGCAGCTGCGGTTGCACGGGCTGCGTAGAGGAGAGGTTAGCAGCAACCATTAAAGATCGGGGGTTGAGACCACAGACGATGCGTGGCTGCGAGTGTGCTTACTCGTATGCGAATTTGCACAGGGCATTTTCTGTGATTTTCAGCATTTTGTTATCTCGCGACTTGTGCGCGATTAAGCGAAGCTGCTTCGGAGCTTGAGGCATGCAGTTGCGCTCACATGTTTTTGCGTCTCCTCGTAGTAGCAGGCCAGTTCCCCGCCATGGCGCCTCCTGTCATGATGTTGGATCACTTACTTCTCAAGCAAGACAAGCAGCACTCTCAAGTGCATGAACCATTCCGATCCGCAATGATCAAGCAGGAAATTGTTAAGCCAGGTAAGATTTAGGTGAAATGATAATTAAATAAGCATGTATTCCTATATATATATATGAAAGATGTAAAACCTAACCACACAACCCTACCATGGATGGATAAAAATACATTCCGGTGGAGAAATGTTATGTATAGCCTCCCAAAGCACAAGTACCTAACAAGCATCGATCTTTCAGCGATTTCTTACTCGCGATCGCAAATCTATCAGAATGCTGCTCTGCTGAGAACCTTTCTTAATTTTCTGCCCTCGACAGTCGACTCTTGAGTGTTGCTAGCACGTGCGCGCGCAATCTGCTGAGAGTTTGACGTCTGACTACATCGCTCTGTGTCTCCGCCTTCACCCACAGTGACGAACTGCCCGGCGACTCTCCCCGGAAGCGCCATGGCGATTTCGGCGGCGACCGCCGCGATGCCGCCGCCGCTGCACCCGTTTGCGGTGTCGTATGCCATCGAGCACCCGCTCGTCTTCATGCAGGACATGCATCCGGCGGCGGCGGCGGCGGCGGCGGCGGCGTGTGACGACAGCAACGCCGACACCCACATGACTAGTCTCGCGAGTCAGTTCAACAGCAGCCTCAGCTTCAGCTCGCTGTCCAGTCTGTCCGAGCTGATCTGCACTGGCGACATCACCATGGCGCCCCCTATAAGCAATAGCAGCGAGGTCGAGTGGCTGCTCAAGAACATCACCGACATGCAGCAGTAGCGCCACCTAGTGCCGCGCCGTCAACAGCACGACGTGCGTACGCCATGAATCGTTCGTGTGTCTCTGGGCGTTTGCTTGGCTCGTGTGTGCTGGGCGGCGGGCGGGGAATCAAATGATCTGGATCACATATTTGTCACATTCCAGACTATTGTTTATCTTTAAGCTCTGTGGAGTGATATTCTCAAAAAAGTTCTACTGTCAAAAACCAGAATGTGATAATAGAGTTATAGTTTGATGTTGGCAATGCGGTAAATTTTCAGCGGACCGTGAAATGTAGGGCGTAGACGTATATAAACCTAAGTGATACAGTCGATAGGAGTGGAAGGGTATTGGCAAATTTGTCGCAAGGGATTGCGAATTCTGTTTCTCTTTTAGCCACTGCAAAGAGGTGGTCAGTTGCCATTGCATGGTTTATCGTAGCTCCAGTCGTAGAGTCCTTCACTCCCTTCTACCCATGTAGATTCACTCTAACCGTGTAGCACTTTGCTCTAGGACTAATTCACTCCCTGTAGTGGGAAGAAAAGACTACACGGGTAGAGTACGATATCAGTGTGACGTTTCGATTATTGTTTTCGAATGTGTAAATGAAGACATTGTAAAAGTGTATTGTGTATGTCATCGTGTATTCTTCTATCTATTGTTATGTGTTAATAGTGCTATAGTTCTATTTTTAAGATTGTTAGGGTTTTACATAATTTGTAAACGAAAGAAACCTTAAACAGAAGTATACAGCAGTGTGTACTATATTTTTGCATCCATAGATAAGGGAGAAATAGAGTGAAAGTTAATTTTATATGTTGAGTTATATATAAAATCTATGATATAATAGTTATATTTGATAGAGGTTATTCCAGAGTGAGGTAACATGGCTTCCTTCCCATCCTCCAAAAAAGATGCGTAAAGGAGGTGAAGAAGAAACACGAACTCTATAAGAAATGAAAGATTATATATTTATATATAATACGTATATGTATATGTGTTTGTGTGTGTGCGTGCGTGCGTGAATGCATGCGTGCGTGCGTACGGGCGTGCGTGTGTAGAGAGAGAAAGAGAGAGAGTGGAGGCGGGAACATTCCCCAGTGATGTAGTGTTTACATCGTGGTGAAAAGGCTGAAATGACATGGGCAGACTATTGGGCTAGGTCTGAAATGGCCCATTACCCTTAACATAATGTGTTATAAGATCAGATAAGATAAGATAAGTTGACGTAAATTTGTTCATGGGCAATGTATTTTATATTTCTTCTATTAATCGTGCTTCAATATGACGCATATGTATAATTTTTTACATGTCTAACATGTGCATTGATTACCTGCTCATGCTAAACTTTAGTAAAGGCATGACACGTCTGGCCTCGTCTGGCGTGGAGTGATGGGTGGGATCTAGTATAGTGTAGTATAGTGGATGGTAGTAGGAACATAAGTGCTTTGCTGAGACCTGATCTAGGGCTGTGTTTGATGTCAGTGCAATTGAAATCGTTTTGCAATTCTAGAAATGTTACGAATTTTGGAGATTTTGGACTATACATGCGCATCGGCCTAGAGCGTTGATTTTTGTCGATTAATCTATGAGAGCCTTAAACGTGGCCGTATTACGTTACATATATAATTATTATATATTACGTTATAATATTATATGTTATTTAGTATACTCCATCTTGGAGGAGGAGCTGTTATTTCCAGAACACGAAATTTGGCCAACCGGGAAGTACTGAATAATGTTTTTAGTGATTTGGGGAATAGAAGTCAATCGGGACGCGGGGAGAAGCTTAACTTAGATTTTATTTAAACCGATTATTAGATTTTATTTAGATTAGATTTTAACCGGGAACTGGAAAGTTGCAAATTTTTACCTGGGAATCTGGAAAATGAACACGCCCCGGTTTCCCCTGTAGCTTTTGCTGCAATGGCGCGACGCTGCAGGGATACATAATCAATATTGTGTTACGATTTTAGAGTGCGTTTTGAATATATATATGTGACATGTTCTTTGGAAATGTGCGTGTCATATTTTCTTAATCGGAAAATGTATACTATTCTTTATTAGGATTATTTGGTTTTAGAACCAACAGTCGTATAGCCAGCCTGGAGAGGTTCTTGTGCTTGGCTGGTCAGTGTTGATAATTACAGAACACGCTTCCGCATACTTACTGTCTTTCATACAGTAAAAATGTAAACTAACCGTTTACGTGCGGTTAATTGACATTTTTCTTGCTGTTGTTATTGTTGTTATTATTATGATGATGATGATGTTAATGGTGATGTTGCTGTTGTTGTTATCGTCGCCCCTAGTTGTTGGTAACGGAAGATGTGAATTCTGTAACGGTAGGAAGAGAGAGATACATACAGCCACACACACACACACAC